CGGAAATCGTTGCTGAGTGCCATATTTTTATATTTGATACTCATATTATAGACAGTATATGTCGCATTTGGCGCTCAGTTGGCAAACGCCAGTTCGATGTGAAAGACGCGAACTAAATACAAAAATATAACAAAGCGCGATGTGACACAAAAAATAAAAGCCACATGAGAGTGTAGTAAATCCATTAGAGTTATATTTATGAGTCTGCAGTACAAAACATCAATTTCTGCTGCCCACAGAGCATAGTGCAAGTCCAAGTCCAAGTGGAGAGTCACATGAGACGGGACGCCATAATTGCGAAAAGTGAAAAGTGAAACGAGATTCGGTTAACAGAGCGCAATATGGGCTTAAAGTAAACGCTATTATCAGCATTAAATCATGGCCAACAGAGTTGGGACACTTTATCGATTTTGTATTTTGAATATTGTTGCGCCATTATCATCGCATTTATATAAGTGATAATTATATTAGGCGTTTATCTGGCCATCGCTGGCTGCAGTGCGGCTCGCTTGATAAACAAAACGCTTGTGTTCTTTGTTTATCTTTCGGATTACTCATCCGCAACCAGCGGCAAAAACAACCAACTGGTTTTGCGCAAAAGAGAACCAAAAAAAACCATGCAACTTTAAAATTTCGTCGTAAAACCAAACTCGTATTACTTAGAAAATGTGCTAATCGTATGTGCAAGTAATGAATAGGAAAAACAACCCGACAGGTGTGTGGCATGTGATACTGCGACTGGGGGATTAAAGCCAACAGGTGTGTAAATTACGAACTTCAAGCAGCAACAACAACAATAGACCATAAATCGATTAAGACTTATTAAAGAGGTGTTAAAATTTACACAACATTTTTGGTCTTCTCTCAACATTCAAGCTAATTGTTCTCTTAGATAAAGCAACATGCTAATGTTAAATAATATTATTTGCATTTATTAATTTTTTTATGCTTAACTTCAAGCAATATTCATATGATGCAATCATCTATTCAGCGCTAGCTATCTTTCAGTTTGGACACATTAATCAAACCTCAATTGCGGCTTGTTCGCATTATACAACGTTTGTTTTCCACATTGCCAAATGATAACCGATAACAAATATATAATGTGACCGGGCGGAGAGGGGGCTGGAGGCGGGTGTGGGGGCGACGGAAGTGCAGACAGCGCGAATTATACAAACACAAACATGCCTCGGTATGCATAGGCGAGTGAGTATAGGGAAAAGTTTATAGCGCCCAAAAACGTGCTATACAACGGGCAACTGAACAAACAAGCCAGAAATAGACGGCATTCAGCTTAAATATAATTATATGTGTATTTTCATATGTGCGGCAGATAACATAAAGCCCCATTTGATAAAGTTGTTGCCAACTTTTCCAGCCAGGTGGGCAGCAACCGCCAAAGGGAACTGAACATCTTTTCTCGGTTTGCAAATTTCATTCGCAGCACTCGTTAAAGTAAATTGAAAAACTTCAAGACACAGTCGGACAATCGGACAGACAGTTGGCAAAACATAAAAATTGAATTGTATTTAAAAGTGCGACAAATAAATGTTAATGTCCTGAACCACAGAGAAGAGCGCATTAAATTTGTCGAGTCAGCGTGCTTTCCAAGTTTAATTCTGTTTTTATTTAAATAAATATATATATACATATATATATATATATATATATATATATATATGTGTGTGTGCTTACGTATGTCTATGTATGCGTAGGTACAAACATGTCTGTTGGCTGCTGCGATTTATTGGAATTTGTTTCTGTTAGGTCTACAATATTCCCGACAGCATTTGCTTTGCCCAAAAGTATGCTACGATTTCTATACATGACGCATATGAATGAGCGGCCAACGTAGGAGTGTGTGTGTGAGTGTGTGCGAGCGTGTGTGTGTGTGCAACCGTGTGTGTCTAAATGCTAATTTGAATAATGAGAACGACATCAACGCGCCATTTTCTAGTTGTTGACTGTCATCATCGTCGCCGCCGTCGTCGTCGCCGTCGCCATTTTGCGTTTCCGCTGCGCCATCGTGAATTTAACTTGAATAAACTGTTATATGGAATATGGGAGTAAATATACCTAAACAAAACACGTATCCGATGTGGGTAACCTACACGACATGGCGCGTGCCCGTCCGCTTCGGCATAAAACAAATGTTAAAGTTTTAATGCGCTATACGGCTGAAATGCATTAAGAGTAGCATTATCCTTTAATGCCTTTTAAGGATTGCTGAAATATAGCTGTTCTTGGGGTCATGCGATTGTTTATGCTGAAAGAAACAAAGCCTGCTTTCTATTTTATTTATAAGCTGGAAGTGAAGACGGCTTTAAAGCGACTATTTAACATTTCCGTGTGAATTACATGTGATGTGTAATGTTATTCAATCAACATGAAAACAAGTTCTGCTAATCCAGAGTAAAATTTACAGAGGTTCTGTGTTTGATTCAAGTGAACTTCCTGCTTTTAGTTTCGATTCGTGAGCATAGTTTATACTGGCATTTGAGGCCAGATATTGATTCAAATATTGGTTAATATATGTATAATTTTCCGCTCAACTAAAAATATGGCAAGTCGTATGAGCTCTAAATTTGATCCATAGGTAATAAAGACGTCAACCTAATGCAAAGGCATTGGCTTCCCATTTAAGGCTCTGAAGCTGGGTCTATATTAAATGTATTCTTCTTTCAGACAAAACAATTTTTATAAAACAAAATATCTTTTTCAGTTTGGGCTTCAATTCGTCTTTCTTTTTGGTTTGCTTTGAGTTTGGATATAAAGAAAAAAATATATTCAATTTCCGTTTGCAGGCTTGAATAAGTTTATTTATTAAAATCCTAGCCTTAAATAGCTAACAATGTGTCTCATCTCCGACTTTCTGCCTACCCCTGAAGGGCTTTTTTCTATTTCTGAGGAGATACTTGTGGTTAAACATAAGGCGTGTTCATCTTAATTATGCTACTTATGTTTAAGCAATTATTTTATTTATTAACTTTTCTTACATTAACTTAAACTGTTTTCGTGACTAGCTTCGTTTAATAACGATTTGTCTTTTCTGCAAGCTGAAAGGAAATGTTTGCCATATTCGATGACATTTTAAAGCAGTTTCTTCGCCCCTTACATATTCAGGACAAACTACATAGTTATATTAATCATTTCCTATGGACTGACACATCCGTTCTAGTTTATTGTGCCCTTCCCCGGGGACCGGCCAGCTTGGCAAATGGCTTCACGCCTGGTCGCAAATGTCGGCGCTTAGAAACCATTTACATTTGGTGCCAGGCTCAAACTTGATTGTCACTTGCAGCATCCTTGTGTGGAGAGGAAGTGTTTGTATTCATTAGAAGTGTCTCTGCCTTTCTATGGCCCAGAGATAGGGAAGGCAATCAGACTTGGCTCACGCAAGCAAAATTAAATCGTTGACAACTTCAAAGCGAAAATTGTGAGATAAAGCTTCATTGATGTTGACGATGATGATGATGATGACGATGTTCGCACCCGTCATTCATATACTTGCTATTAAAGCCAAGAGCTCAGAATATTTACTTGTTCACTTATTGCAGAACCGCCGAGGAGGAGCAGGAGCAGGAGCAGGAGCGCAACATGGATTACGATGACGACAAGTTGGTCTCGGATGAGGTGCATCTGCGGCAGCTCAGCGCGACGCCGTGCTCGGCGCTGCAGCAGCGCCGCCAGAGCAAAAGCGTAACACACTCCGCGCCCCCGGAGCTAACGCAGCGCGGCCAGGCACTACAGGAGCCGGAAACTGAGGCGGAGCAGGGCGTGGTGCTGCGTCGTGCCGTCGACAAGGGGGCGATTACCTTGGCACAAATAGATGATCTAAGGCTGGAAAGCGACGATGACGATGACGTGAACGACGACGTTGACGGCGGGCCCGGTCTGAGCAATCCCGCAGCGCAGACCACAAATGATGAGCAGATTCCAGCCACAACAATGGCAGCAATGGCCACAATTACAACCACAACAACTTTAACTACAACAACAACAATGGGAACAGCAGCAAGCGAGGTAAGTTGAATTGTGCCCAGCACTTAGGGCTAATTAAAAGCTAAACTGTAACAAAAAACAGCAGGAAGCAGCCACGAGCACGACGTGCACCCCAACTCTGGCCCTAGCCGCTCTGGATATGTCCAAAATACCACGGCTGCCTGGCGACGGCGCCCAGATGGACGACAGCGGCGATCTGCCCTATTCGCTGCGTGCCTCCACAGCATCAATTCTGTCCAATTTGCGCAGGAAACAGCAGGCCATGCTCGGCGCCAGCCTGGCCATTGACCGACCCGAGGGCTCGGTTACGGCCAAGCCAACGCCGCGCCGTGTCCAATCCGTGCGCATCGTCGAGGCTAAATCTGGCTATGGACCCAAGCGACGCACCGAAAGCTGCAGCATATTTGGCAACAGCAATTTTGGTAAGCCAAAAGCCAAAAGTCATGTTTACGCAGGTTTACAAGGCCTTACAAGGCAGTTGATAGCCTATTGCCTGCCTGCCCTAAAAGCCATGTTTATTCCAATGAGAAAAGAGTAATGTTTTTAAGACAGGCATCCTTCACCTCATAATTATATAGATTCTTGTTTATATAGATCTGCTAACATGAACCTATGCTAATGATTATCCTGGATCGAAACTCTATATCACATAACATTCATCGTTTAGACGTACAACTTTTTTAGGGTAACTTTCGTTTATGTTGATATATTCAAACTTTTAACATAAATTCCGATAAAGGACTACAATCAGATATAGAAGAGATTAGTCCAAAAATTAAGCTTTTGTCTGATAAACGTATTTATGTTTAAGTTCTCCTTCTACTAAATCTTATCATATAGCTCCATTATTAGAAAAAGCGGCCCAAAATTTCGTTCTCTTACCAAAAGATTATTAATTAGTTTCACAATATCCAAAATATGCTCTATAAATCCGGTTCGGCATCTAGATATTCCTTCTATTGTCCCAGCAGTTTTCCGAACTTATTTAATCTACGTCAGTGTCAAAAATAATTTGATAATCTGATATATATATTTATATATATATATTTTTTCTACAATATAAGATGAAACACAGTGAGATTTGCAAATTGCTGCAGCTGCTGGTTACATTGCCCTTGGTTCTTGGCAGCGAAGATGAGTCAAGAGTGAGTCGAGTGAGGCGTCTGGCTACTCCCAACTACGATCCGGAAGTGTACGAAAATATGGCCAAATATGTCGTGTCGATTAGGTCACGTTCGCCGCACAAATACTTTGGCGACAATCATTTCTGTGGCGGCTGCATAATATCCCCCCGATTTGTGATAACTGCCGCGATGTGTGTCATGGAGTAGGTATATTGCATCCATATATAATTATTGATCCAGCAGTAATCCATTTTCGATATAAGCGAAGGAAAGATAATGCTTCGAAGTCGGGTGCTGGTGGTCGTTGCTGGAGCGCCAAACCGTCTGAAGGTTGTCACGGATCAGACTCTCAATGTTCCGATTTGCGATATTTTCGTCCCGACAAACTATACCGTGTTCAATACCAACAATATTGCGCTTATGGAGCTGGCTTATGACCTTCCCTCCGCGAATAAGCACATTGGCATTATCAATCTGCCCACCCAACCACCCGCTACTGATCTCACTTACAGGGTCCTGGGCTGGGGACGCGTCTATAAAGTTGGGTTGATTCCAAAGATTGTCTTAAGGAACAGAACTCATGTTATCCTATTGCTTGCAGGGCGGTCCTCTGGCGTCCAGAATATTGTTTATCGATGTCAACTTACAGAAAAGAAATGTTTGCGAGTCTCTGATCGAAAATTTCAAGCCAGCAATGTTGTGCGCCGGCAATTTGAATTCTTCAGAAGATGAAAATCCCTGCCCGGGCGATTCCGGCGATCCGCTATTGTTGAATTTAACAATTTATGGCATCGCCACATATGGCCTTGGCTGCGGTTATGGCTATATGCCATCGGTCTACACGGACGTGTGGTACCACATGGGCTGGATCAATGAAGTCCTAAAGCAAAATCTCAGCCCCAAATATCAATTTCAACCCCATTATATGTTCCTATTGTTAATTATGTTGATAATTGCATTTTAAGCGGATTTACTTCCTTAGAAGGCATTCCATATGTTGCTATACTGATATGTGGAATGCATAATAAAGCATTCAATATGTTGACTTGTAAAGCTGTCCATTTCATTCGAAACAGCTCGCATAACTTTCAAAAATAGTTCTTGATCAGGCTTACGAGCTAAGAACCAGCCACATCCGTCTTACAGTGCGTCCAGCTGGCCTTTAAGCCTGGAAAATAAACTCTTGATTCATTTGGAGCTTGTCAACCTTACTATCATAGAGCAGAGTAGAAGTTGGTACATTAGATAAGCATGGAGCAGTCAGGTGGTCAGAAAAGGTTTCGAAGACTAAATTTATCTTTGGTAAATAACTATCTATGTAGCTCGTATAAAAGTCGATTGTTCTTAACGTACATGCAACAGATTATGAACTGGAATCGGGTCAATCCATCGCGAGCATTGCTGGACCCCAACGTCCGCTGACTAATGAAACGTATTCGGCCTTCAAAAGCGGCAATGTGGTCAAGGGCATACTCTGCCCTTCGTTGACGAACTCGTTCAAGCAGAGCTCGCTGGAGAGAAGCTATCTGACCTACACGCACAGACAACGCCAGAAATCGCTCATAATCGTCAATGTGGTGGACTTTGTGCTTAAGATTGTAATGGCGCTCATTTGGATGCTGCAGCCCAGGGAGGAGCGCCTGGAGAATGTAAGCGGATTAGTGCCAATTCCAATCGAAAACTATACCAAATTCCCTTCACAGTCCATGCAGAGCTCGGACGAGGCGAGCACAGCGACGGCGATAACCTGGTCCGTTTGCTGTGGGATTGCCAACTTGGCCATTTGCTTTCTGGGCTATTGGCGCTGCTTTGCCAACAATTATTTGCACTGGGCGGCCGTCTGCACGTGGGTGCTCTTCAATATACAAGGTAAGGAGCGGGGAGGGATGCACATAAATCATGCGTCACATGCGCTGGCCGTTAAATGTCCTAATCCTTTGGCCGTCATAAATGTTTTATTGCCCCTGCGACAGGATTCATCAGCGAAGGCGTCGGCTTCGAGAACCGTGAGTACCTGGTCTGGTACATTCTGTTTGTCATATTTGTGCCCTACGCCATGTTGCCGCTGCCGCTCAAATGGTGCGTGGTGGGCGGCACAATCACGGCCAGCTGCCACCTGGCCGTAATCACAATCAACAAATTGCAGGACAAGGAGGTAGTACAAAGCGCACACAAGCCGTTATACTCTATGGATTGCAATTTCTTTTCCTCTTTCTCTTCTGTTGCTAGACACCAATGGATCACAACTGCGTTCTGTTTCAAATCATTGCCAATTTCATTCTGTACACGGCCATTAATGTGGCCGGCATGTACACGAAATATCTGACAGATCGTGGACAGCGTTTGGCCTTCATTGAGACCCACAAGGCAATGGAGCACAAAAAGGAGTCCGAAAAGGAGCTGCAACGCACTCAGAAATTGCTTGATTCAAGTAAGTCCACTTGCAAATATCCGAAAACTATCTATATATCTGTATAAGTATATAAGGTAAGGGCTAGCTCAAAAGTGAGCAGCTTTTTGTCGATGGTTCAAATCCAGCAGCAATTTTCAATTTCCATTTGTTTATTGAATTTGTTATTATTTACATATTATTTTCAATATTATTAATTTGACCCGTGCAACAGCGAGTAAATTTCTGCCACTAGTTATGGAATATTTTATTGTGGTTCATTCATATTTATAGCGTATTTTATATATGTAAAAGCCATCAGATTAAGACCAAAGACATTGTTAAAGCTGTCGATAACAGAATATTTTCAATACTTGCAATTTAGCTTCGATTTGTTGCAAGGCTGGGCTCTCATTTAACAAAAAAAAAGAGATTCAAGAGAAATGGAAGCAAAAGCAGCTGTAAGGTCTCAAAATAAATGAAATTCTGTAGAACTCAGAGCCAGGTAACTGGAAGCGAATAGCTGCAGGTAATCATTAGGAAGCTGCCAGGATTCACATATTTGAGGTGTGCTCAGTAATTGTGAGTTGCTTAACGAATGCAGGAACTGACTGCATAAGGACCACAAAAGTTGCATTCTAAATTTACACTTTTTAAGACGAATTTGATATTCTTTTACTATTGCATTCTGTTTGCAGTTTTGCCCAACATTGTGAATAATCAAATACGCAGCGAAATGTACAAGGGCACGGATCCCACAGTTGAGACGCAGTTCAACAAGTTGTACGTGTATCCCATGGACAATGTGAGCATTCTCTTTGCGGACATAAAGGTAAACAATATAAATAGCACATTTATTGTTCTGGCCAATAATTTAAGCTTATTTCTGCAGGGCTTCACGGAGCTGGCGAGCAAAACATCGGCCCAGCAATTGGTGAAAATTTTAAACGACCTTTTCGCCCGTTTCGATCGCATTGCTGAGGTAAGTGTCATGTTCCATATGTCCAGCATTAGAGATACTTCGAATTTAACATTGTTTTCGTGGTCCACAGGACAATCATTGCCTGCGCGTGAAGCTGCTCGGCGATTGCTATTACTGCGTGTCACAGTTCGAAAGTGACAATTGGAAGACGCGACCGGATCATGCGGTGTGTAGCGTCGAAACTGGGCTACACATGATAAAGGCCATCAAGGATGTCCGCCTGCATACGCACGTAAGTGACAGGAAATTGTTGTAATGGGCCTCCAATTAACAGCCAATTGTTTCATGCGTGATTTGTTAAGGCAAGCAATTGCATTTTTTTAAACTTTTTCATTGAACAGTCTGAAACCTTTATTTTTAAATTATTTAATATAGGAAATTAAAGTTGCAAAGTTTTCGTCTTCCCTTGACTGAACTCAAACATATTGCTGCATACTTTCGAGCGCAGCTTGAAATTAACAGCTGCCGTCTAACAGAAAGCTGTTAGTCAACAACAGTCCGCTGTTATGCAGCCGGATGCTGTAAAACGTTGGCAGCCCGCCAATAATTTTTTTTAAATTTAATGCCGCAAATTTTTCAGCTGTCAGCTATTTGGCATTTCTTTTTTGCAGCAAGCCGCTTTATTTTTACGAATATTGCACATTGTTTTTGCTCTGCCCGCTGTGTCGGCCTCTGTGGCCCGGCCCCGTGTAGTGTCGCACTGGTCGTTGCCGGACGTGTTGACAATTCATTTGTATGCAAATCTCAGCAGAGCAAAAGGCAGTCACAAACGGCAACAGCTCTGAAAATATGTAAGACTGCTATGGACGAGAGTGTTCGACTAACGGATGCCCTGTGATATGCTGCCGTCACAAGCATTCAAACTTGAATTTCTTGTATAGCTTCGATGCTTACGGTCCGATCTTAATCGAACTTTCAGGAATTGCATATGGCTTCCAAGTGCATAGATACGCAAGGATATATCTCTCAAAATAAATTTGTCGTTTCAAGCTTGAGCGTAGAGACGTGCCACAAAGCTTAAGCTGAACATCGATTCTTATCGATTGATAGTTATCGTTGAGTGATCGATAATTTAAAACAAAATTGAAGTATATACTCTATGGCGTTTATTTTTCTTCATCTTCTGGCTGTTACCTTAATGAACATGAAATTATTATACCTTACTTTACCCATTGTTTCAATTTGTAGAGGGTATACAAGCAACAGCAAGAAATATGTGTTAAATTTTCATGCCCGACAACGTACGAACGAAACTTAATAGATTTTTTTTTTGTCGCAGCGAGTAGGGAACTCAGCTTCCCTTAACTCTTGTGACCTTTAAGGGCATTTAATGAATGTGAAAGCTGCCGTTAAATAATGACAATTGGCCGACACCGCATCCGAGTGTCGGTCAGTGCAACAGACACTGGCATTGACACTCTGACAGCTGCAGCGACCCCCAAAAGTATGCGGCAGTTGCAGTTGCAGTTGCAGTTGCAGCTGCAGGTGCAGCTCAGTCTGCAGTTAAGCACGTGCTTTGCATATATTGTAAATTCTGCGTCTGTTAATTCCGCAGGTTGACCTCAACATGCGCATCGGCATACACAGCGGCTCGGTGATGTGCGGTGTGCTCGGCAACAAGAAATGGCATTTTGACGTTTGGTCCAATGATGTTATCATTGCAAATCACATGGAATCTGGCGGCATACCTGGGTAAGTTCGGTCACGTCCAGCCCGCTAGCTAGCTCTTGCATACATTTGTGTGTTGCCATTTGAATTAGTCGCGAAATTATGCACACAGCATTGCCAGCACGCCCAAGGTCCTGTAATTATCCTTGTTGTCGAAAACAACTGGTAAGCAAAACCAGGCGAAACAAAACAAGCTCTAGATTAGCGAAGAGCAAATACCCTTAGAGACAGACAGGCTCTATAAGACAGGAAATAATTATTATTTAGCAGGGCTGTATTTCTTTTTTCACTTTTAGTTAATATTAATTGTGGCATATAAACAATTTATTAATTCTTTGTGCTTAAATCCATAGCTCAATTTTAAATCAGCAATTGTCTATTTATATGCCTTGAAAGGCAATTCTAGATAGATGCTTTTTCTAAGTCAACCTTAGTCCTTTGGGCATTTAAGTTAGGATCTCAAATCGAATTCCAGTCTCTTATATGGCTGTCATATTGCTTGACACCTGACCCTATTCCATGTCCTAGACTCTTGATTATAATTATAAACATGCTTAAAAGTGTGCTATACCAAATCGTGTCCAACAAAGAATCACATCAGTTATTTAAACAGATTTCGCATTAAGCGAAGTTCCTCTTTAAAGTCTAGTCCTTGAGGCGCAAAAGGATTAGACACTTTTTGACTGTTATTTAATACTGTGAACTGTTAAAATCAGCAAAATACAATATTTTGGCCAGCTGGCAGTCTCATATATTTTGGCAAAAATTCAAGAATTGAATGCGAAACCCGAGCTGCCAAATAACATGGCTGTGCTCTGCCTTCGAATCTTAGTGAGCCAAATTTTTAATTGGCCAATTAGGGCGTGTCCAATGCTGCTGGCTAACAGCAATTGCTTTGTTATTTTCGCAAACTCAGCGTGTTTAGACACAAGAAACCAACACAAGAAAAAGCAAAAACAACAATCAACTAACAGAGAATCGGAATCGGAGTGTCGAATCAGGGCGACCACAAAC